GAAACTACATAAGCAAGTCTATTTGAATTAACTTAAAGGAATTGTTCAGTAAAAAGTAATTTTGTTTATTGTGATAATTTACAGGATGTTATACTGTGCCCTAAACCACGCTGACAACTCTGCACAGCTTTAATTAGGGCCTGAATACAGTTTGTGTAAGTTGAGAGAAGTTTTGGGGATGTATTTATGGAAAACATTTGGGTGTCTATTGACTTGTAGGGTTTGTTAGCAGTGTTAGCCCTGTAGCTCCAGCGCTAAGCTAAAGAAGCAAACTCTTGCTGCCAAACATGTCTTGGCTGATTGATTATAGTTGAGGTGAGAGGAAAATTCTGTAAATTTAATTTCTGTTCAAACTATTTTTTATTTATTCATTTACTGTTTAGTGAGCTGATTTTATGAAATGGCCTTTAAATCCACTTTGCTAGTTTTACAGTGTTGCCAGATCTTTAAGCTAAGGTGTAATCTTCAAAAACAGCCCAATGTCAGAATGCCAATAGCAGTACAAAACCATCTTAATAGCACTGTAATGCTACTGTGCTATTATCCCATTCAGAGTATTAATCTCTACTATGGCAGCTCTTTAGTAGGATGGCCTATGAAGGATGGGGGGGGTTATATGGAGGGGCAATCTGCCATGCATGTCATTAACTACATATGGACAGTGTGCTCTGACACAGGCAATTAATTAAAAACTTGCGAAGATGGAAGAGAGTGGTAGAAAATGAGCATGATATGTAGGTGACCCCATGGGAAGACCCCCTACTGAGAGATAAATATTAGAGAGAGAGAAAGAGAGGGAGAGAGGGAGAAAGAAAGATGGAAAGCACTCTATTTCTGTCCAGTGGTCCCCACGGGGGAAAGCGCCTGCATGGGCTGTCCTGGTCACGTGACTCTGATGCAACCTTGGAAAGAGAAGAGAGAGGAGAGGCTAAACACAGTGCCCACATTCTGACAGTGTCACACACACATTGCTGACTTAATGACTTTATCACTTAGGCAGTTATTTACAATAAAGAAAAAAGCTAGTTTTGATAACACAACTCAAATTCTATTAGAGCCTTACAGGACTATAACTGGGTTTAAAATCCTAGTCAGGTCTATTTTATTGAAAAGTGACCTACATCACATAGTGAATAAAATACTGCCAAATATGAGTGTCAAACCAACTGTCCGTTTCTCTGTAAGTCTTTTTTTTTACCAATTCATTGCTCTCTTTTTACCTATCTATAATTGTAAAGTACTTTTTCTTTTCATTTATTCATTTTCCACCAATTTCAAATAAGTAATTTCATTACTTATTTTTATTATTTATTTACCTACTTACTTTCAGCTGAAAATACATGTTGAAACCTATATATAGTAAATCAATTGATAGTTTACACTGATTATTTATCTCTGTCTCTGTCTCTGTCTCTCTCTCTCTGCTTGTATCTTTTTCTGTCTTGCTTCTTGGTCCTCACTGATTACAACAAAACCATATATATGCTATGAAAGGCTGGTGGTGGTGTGTTGGTGTGTGTTGTGCTGGTACAAGTGGATCAGACACAGCAATGCTGCTGGAGTTTTTCAGTGTCACTGCAGGACGGAGAATGGTCAACCAACCAAGTATATCCAGCCAACAGTGTCCTGCGAGCAGCATCCTCTGACCACTGATGCAGGACTAGAGCAGGGGTCGGCAACCCAAATGTTAGGAGGAGCCATTTTGTCCTTTCAATAAAACTTAAACCACCTTGTGAGCCACAATATTTCATGTCCATTTTAACATCTTGGCTGTAAATATGACTCAGTATGTGCTAATGTACTAGTATAGGCTAAAACATATATAATGTAAAACATAGACTTACTTTGCTAAGTTTTAGCTCAGCTAGAGCTGCACTTATCGCATTGTCGGCAGGAAACTTCTCCAAAATGAGAGCAGTTTCTTGTAAAATGTCTCTTAACATTTGACTTTTTACAAGGCTTAAGTGAGCTTCTCATTTGCCAGCTTCTTGTTCGAATTTTCCCGTTCTGCCTTAAATGGTACCTGAGGTGCCAGAATGAACTGCGGCACCATTTAAGGTGGAACAGGAAAATTCCAATGAGAAGATGACTTCATCTTTGTGGCCTTTGAGTGTTTAACAGTTTCTCGTAGCAGCTGGAGTGCTTGTGAATGCAAATAAGTTCATTAGTCACCAAATTATCAATGTTTGTCTTAAGTCTTTCTCTTTGTCTTTTCATTAGCTACTAGCTAGGCAAGACTGTTGTCTGCGTTGCTATGTGACCGAGCAGTCTGCGCGCCAACCTTCAGAGTGAAAGGCTGCATTAACTTCAGCATTTAAGACCATTTATTGTTAAACTGTCTTGAATGATCAGCAGAGCTTTATTTTACTGCAAAGGAGGATTATTTTATTTTTACCTAAAAATCTAATTCTGCTGTGGAGCCGCAACAGGGCAGTAAAAGAGCTGTATGCAGCTCCGGAGCCACATGTTGCCGACCCTTGACCTAGAGGATGACCAACACAAACTGTGCAGCAACAGATGAGCTACTGTCTGTGACTGTACATCTACAAGGTGGACCAACAGTGTATGAGTGTCTATTAGAGTGAACAGTGAGTGGACACAGTGTTTATAAACTCCAGTAGCACTGCTGTCTGATCCACTCATGCCAGCGCAACACACTAACACACCACGCTCACATCAGTGTCAATGCAGTGCTGAGAATGATCCATCATCCAAATAATGCGTGCTCTGTGGTGGTCATGATGATCATGAGCCCCTAATCTAATCCAGGATGGATTAGAGTTGTGGTGAATTAGAATTAGAGCTACACTCCGCAGCACAGCAGATCTCTAGGAACATGGTCAGGGATGACTGGTGTAGGACACGTACTAGTGTAGATAAACCTGAAGAGGAGCTTGCTTTTTTGTTTGAGGATGTGGAAAACAAAAGCTGAAAAAATAAACCAGTTTACCACCATGTACATGGCAGAGGTTCAAGTTCACATTTTTTAACCTGTTGTTGCTGAGCCTGGTCATCAGTGTCCTACAGCTCTTTCTGTGAATTGGAGACTGGGATGGAACTGAAATATGGTCTGTGAGGACTGGGCTAGAAATGTTTGATGTGCTGGGGTGACAAAAGAAATCAGAAATGTACAATTTTTGCATTGAAAAACAATCAAATTTAACATCACTTTTATGGTTCACAGAACACTAGTATAACTCAACTACCTCACTAGAGGCCTTTACAGGCCTTTACAGCTCATTTGCCAATTCTATTTTATATATGCTGCTTAGGTTTTTGTATTTTTCATTTTTGCTTCTATCACTCATCATTTAATCAAAATCATGCCGAACTCTGATTAATTCAAAAACATTAAGTGTTAATTGATATGGTGAACTACATGGTAGCTAAAACATTTTAAGGGTATGTCATTGGAATCCATATGTAAAAATGAATGCCTATGTATATGATACATTAGGACATACATAATATATACACTGCTCAGCTATAACTTTGAAACCACCTCTTTGTATCTGCACTCTTTGTCCATTTTATCAGCTCCATTTACCATATAGTTGCACTTTGCAGTCCATCTGTTCCTCTGCATACTTTGTTAGCCCCCATTCATTCTGTTCTTCAATTATCAGGACCCTGACAGGACCACCAAAGACCAGGTATTATTTGGGTGGCGGATCATTCTCAGCACTGCAGTGACACTGATGTGGCAGTTAGTGTGTGTTGTGCTGGTATGAGAAGATCAGACACAGCAGTGCTGCTGGAGTTTTAAAACACTGTGTCCACTCACTGTCCACTCTATTAGATACACCTACCTTGTTGGTCCACCTTGTAGATGTAAAGACAAAGATGATAGCTCATCTGTTGCTGCACAGTTTGTGTTGGTCATCCTCTAGTCCTTCAACAGTGGTCACAGGATGGATATTTTTGGTTGGTGGACTATTCTCAGTCCAACAGTGACACTGAAGTGTTTAAAAACTCCAGCAGCACTGCTGTGTCTGATCCACTCGTACCAGCGCAACACACACTAACATGCCACCACCACATCAGTGTCGCTGCAGTTCTGAGAATGATCCACCACCCAATAATACCTGTTCCATGGTGGTCCTGTGGGGGTCCTGACCACTGGAGAACATAGTAAAACAGGGCTAACAAAACAGATGGACTACAATCTGTAATTATGATCAGTGTATATATTACCCAAATTTTAAAATTGAACAAAATCATGTTTTTAAGTTAAAGGGACATTAAATAGAGAAGATTTTAAGTGAATTTGTGCATTACTATTTTGCCTTTACCAGGTTAGAATTGCAACACAGATCGGCCAACATTAAAATGATAAATCGCCTGATAAAAGTCGGTTCATTCCGATCTTGGCCGATTCCGATCGGGCACCACTGTTGTCAAAGTCCTTAGGAACATCAAGCAAGCCAACTGAAACGTCCTGGTCTCTGAATATTCTAACCACAGGCGGAGTCTGCCCTCTTGTGGTAATTACAATGTAAAGCATGGTTGTTTTAAGCAACATTTAGCAATATTTTTGCTACCTTGGCGTTTTGTTCCGGTGTGTCACGGTATCAGCATTTGTTTAATGCTCCCAATTTAGCACTTCACAGTGTAATCCCTATAAATCCCTACAAACATGCATAAACTTTATAAGCATTGTTATTTCACTACAACTGTGTAATTACAATAATAGTTACTCCACACATCATGAACAGCCTGCTGATATAAGCATCTATTAAATACGCATCGTTACAGTTTCTAATGTTTGCCAGACTGAGTGCTAAATCTGATCTTAGTGTCACTTCCAGAGCGTAAAGTGAAGGAATGCACGGCTCCTCTTCCAGGTTCACACGCCCCCACGTTCGAGAAGGAAGAGCTGGAAAAAAAGAGAACTCCATTTCCCACAACACCTTGCGAAGACAAGCCAACGCTTTCGTCTTACATTCCTTCGCCACTGCATTATGGTTTCTGTAGTTTTCAGTCCTCAATGACTGGCGCCTCCTTGACGTCGCGACTGGGCCAGTCTATGAGGTAGACGATTCTCTGCAGAGGGAAGTCCGACATAGACATGAAAATAAAGGCCAGGTAATTTTTTGTTATAACAGTGCGCCCAGAGGAGGCTTGTACGTGACTTTGGCAGTCAAATATATAAAGAAAGAAAGCAAATAAAGGTGGCTTTGCCTGTTGCGCATGTTACCGTAAAGACAATGGTTAGCTAATGTTAGCTAGCTTTGCTAGCAGTGTTGGTCGTTTGGTCGCCTGCTGGTAGTCGGAGGGGTTTTTAGTGACGTTAAACACAGTAGTTAGCAATTCTGTTGAATATCAGAGTACTTTGAGGAACACATTACTCGTACACTGTTTGGACAGTTATGAAACGGTTTTCCTGTTTACAGGCATGAAAAGCTATAAACACCTTTGTTTTAGCTGCAGTGGAAAATAGGCTAGCGTTAAGTAAACTAACCCAGCCAGCAAGGTTAGGTCTCTCTCAGTATTGCCGCAGTATTAGCACTTGTCGTGCTGGTAAACAGTGTAACATGTCTCTTCACACAGTAAGAACATGTAAGATTCAGATTACAGCTCAACCAGTTTATCCATGCAGCGCCGGATTAATTTTATGGAGCTGATTATGCAACACGGCGATGTTGTTGACATCCGGCGCTGCAGTCAACGTAGGTTAGCTGAGTCAAAGCAGCAATCAGAGAGCAGCAGATGACAAGAAGAGAATTTGACAGTGTACTGAAGAGCCAGTGGAGCAGTTTCAGGGCTTATCTCGTTATAACAGGCAAAGAGGTTATGGAGTGAGGGGAAAACACACAAACAGTTGTTCTAGTTCTAGTGGTCCCACTCACTCCTGTCAAAATCACGTGTCTGACCATAAATGTAGACGTTACAAGTGTGCTTGTGACTGTATGCATGACTTATTCCCCCTGTCGTTCACATGGTTAATTCTGCATTTCCCTTAAACTTCTGCCTTCTGATACTTTGCCAGCAGCTGTTGTTGAATTGGAAACATGTCCAAGAAAAGGGGCAGGTAAGTGCAATAACTTTTCCAGTGTAAGATACACAAACATTAACATGGTCCACAGGCACAGGTCAAGCTGTATTGTGCAAGGAGCTTTCTTGGTTTAACCCATTCATGTCCAGCAACTAAATGTAGAATGATAAAGAAAACTGCTGCAGAACTTGTTGTGTTTGGTGTAAAGTGGTGAGCATCTCACAGTACTTGTTTTACTTTTTTCATACTTTGATTCACAATCAAATTTAGAATTTCTTTGGTAAAAATCAGTAGTCAAGGAAGTAATGATCAATAGACTAAAGTCAATCTGAAGTGATAAAAGCTCACTTTTAACCATATGGTTTGATCATTTTGCTGCTAAGGCCCAGTCACACTTGCGTTTACTAGCGAAATTTCACAAGCAAACTTGCATTCATTTCAAATTGCCCCGATGACTGATTTTGCATCTTAAACATCCAGATTCAAAGCGGAGCAAATACTAATTCAGCTAGCATCTAAGCACAAACTTTTAAACATTAAATTAGTGTCTTCTGAGGTTTTACTGTTTGCTTTAAATGAGTCAGTGAGCTTGCTAACTGTGATGTTAGCTCCATGGCTAACTGCAGCTGCACACAACTCACTTTACTGTTTCTAACCAGGCCAGTTATCTTATACTATATACTTTTTTGCTACAGATCAGCATGTCGCACAATGCTGTAGCAAGTGTATACTTATCTGATATAATATGTGTATATATGTAGAAACATATGCATATATGTTTACTTTTATAATTACACCAACAGTTTTTATGATTGGGTTTTACTGTTTTGGATGAACATCTCACAGTATTTGTTTTGCTTTTCTGATGCAATTTTCATACTTTTATTCTCAGTCAAATTTAGATTTTCTATTGTTTTGGTAAAAATCAGTAGTCCAGGAAGTAATGATCAATAGACTAAATTTAACCTGAAAAACTTTTTTGTCATTGGGTTGATCCTTTTAAAAAAAAATTCTTAAAGTTTGTGCTCAGGCAAGCTCAGAGAACATATAGACCAAAAATATAGTCTACACTATATCCATGGTAATACCAAGCTCCCACTCCTGCATATTGAAATGTCACATAAAAGAAAGTTTACTATTAAACTTGATCACTGTTTGTAATGACACCAGCTACTCTTACTGTACTTTACTACTGCCAAAGCAACTTAACTACCACACTTGGTAGCTTGCTGATTTGTTTGCAATGTTTTGGTGAAGTTGCTAGTCTTATGAAATCCATTCAGTGCGCAGCAGTGTTAATTTGCGTTTTGACTCCTCAGTGACAGTGTAATTCAGTTTAACCAAATGCGATCAGAGGAAAAATGCACATAAGACAAAACGTTGATTTTAGAACTGTTTTGTTTATTATAATGCGCGATAGCAAGAGAAAACCGGCTTAGATCTGGAACTCCTAATATGGGCATGACACCAACTACAGAATAACGAGACAACTTTACTTGTTTATAACCATAATAAGTAAAATATTAGGGCTGTCAAAAACGATTATAATAATGAACTGCAATTGTTTGTTGTAGTTTGCTTTAATTGCTCTAATTGAATAGCTATATGAATGGACAAAATAACCCTCATCAGAATGTATTTATTACCTTAATCAATTCAGCTTGAACCTGAATATATAAACTACATTAATATTTCCAATTTGCATCACTAGCATCCTGTAACAGTAACAGTGGCTGCATGTCCCAACTCGTCTGTAATTGTAACCTCGCATACCACTATGTTACCTTTTGTTTCAGGGGAAACTGGAGCTTTCCATTTTAGTAATGCTTTTGTTAGTTTGTAGGTTGTTAAATTATTAGTAGTCTTTCACAAGCAGCGTTGTCTGCCAGCATCCTCTGTGCTAGCTTTACTGATGTTACTGACTTTAGCAGTGAGTTTTGTTTGTAAATTATACTTTGGACTCAGTGCACTTCAGTGATAAACAAATTCATGGCATGGCAGTAGCTGGAAATACCTTTTTTTCAAGATGTTTTTAATGTGTTAACTTTGACACTACGTAAAAATGTTTATATAACAATTTATTAACCATCATAGATGACTTTTTATGGTTTAACTTATGACTTTAGAGGTACTTTAAAATACCAGTCTTATCTGAAGCCAACCTTTATGACCACAGCCATGCTGAATTCTGCACACCTGAGTAGGAAGGGCAGATGTTGATAAAGGCCAAGTCGCATGCTCTGTTGCATGAGAGTGTCTTTTCTAGCACCTTATCAGAAAGACTCAAAACACACATGCCTTGGTTCATCCAAACATCCAGAGAACATTTGTGATTAGTCAGAATGCTCACAATGCAAATATTTAGTGAATTGATAAACTCTCATTTGCATATCACAGCCTTGCAATGGCTAATATTACAGTAATGATAAAAAATATTGTGGCCATCTTTTTTACAGTATTTTGCTGCTCCTGAAGGATCAGTCACACATCCAGATTAAGTTTCTTTTCTTAAACCAAAAGGGCTACCGCTTTGTGTTTCTCCTGACCTCTGAAGGGGTGGGGCCTCATAGTACCTCTAAAATTAATGTTCCAGGATGCTTTACTTTTTTACTGTTTGTTTTAAACAAGTTACCCAGCTTTCTGGCTGTGATGTTAGCTCCATGGCTAACTGCAGCTGCACATAAGCCATTTCACTGCTGCCAACCATGCCAGGTATCTACACATTTTTGCTACAGATCTGAATGTAGCACAATGCTGTGGCAAGTATATAGCTATCTACACTTTTCTGGTTTGTCTTAGTGTGCAGCACTATTTGCCCGAAGTTTACATAATCTCTGCAACTTTCTACGATTTCAGACTGGCTTCCACCCTCTAGAGAAGAGATATCATAATGGACCACAAGCAACAGCCATTATCTTAATATTCCATTGCTGAGGACTGACCGTTAATATAATCCCCCATCCCCCATCTTATCAGACTTATTAATAATAAATATACATTATAGATAGATTTTGATAAAGGATAGTTATATTTATTCAGGATTTGTTAAAGTTGGCTAGGTATGTTTTGGGTAACTGTGGTGCTTGTGCTTTGTAATAATATACGGTTATATTGTTCATAGTAATTTCTTTAGATGTGTAGGTATATATGACAGTCTGTTTTATTGATTTTGTTGTAAATTAGTGTGTGAATTCAGTCATTGACTGCAAAGCACTAATAATAAAATTACTACTACTATTACTACACTCCCACAGGTATATAATTATCTGTTACAATGTTGTTCACTTTTTTGTCGTTACTGTTAATGGTTAGCAAGTTAGCCAGCTTGCTAACTGCACTGTCTTCCAGACAGGCTCATTCACGCCCATTTTGCAAGGTGGCAAAAACTGCAAAAGTCTAGTGTGACTGCGGCTTTACTCTAATTACTCTTTACTTTTACTTCTAATTAATTTTAGCTGTCTGTCAATTATAGAAGAAATTGAGTCAACTAATTGATCAGTCTGTTTCAAACTGTGAAAATGAACTGAACAATAACAAGCCATGTATATGCTTTTAAAAATCTCACAACATTTTAACTGAAATGAAGTCCTTAAAACACTTAAATACTATGTGGCAAAAAAATGCATAGAAAAGTTACTGTCCATAATGCTGTTTTTCTTACTGTAAAGACCAATAGGGGAATTTAAAGTATACATTATTATTGTGCAAAATGCAAACAAATCAGTGCAATTTAATCAAGTAATTGTGACAGCCCTACTACCTGTACTTGGTAACTCTTTAAGTCCTTCTTCTTAACTGTTATTAAACCTTTAGCCATTAAAATGCACTAGTAAATAGAACCATATCATTTGTCAGCAAGCTTAGAAATGTGGTATAGAAGTATTTATATGATACATTAATAAGGTCCTCAATAAGTTAGTTTGTAAATTAATGACTTAAGTGTGAATTGGTTGTAATCTTTCAGTTGCAAGCGTACATGAAATGTCTTTATTAGACATGTTAATGAAGGAGTATTAAGACGTAATGATTTGTGAATTTACATTGACCAAACATGGTAGTAAATGCAAGCAAATGTTCAAATTTCAGTTGCAAGCATGTTCTGAATGTCTGCATGTTTTGTTGATTATAACTCATAAACAACTGACCATTCCTTTTACAGTGATTTGTAGGTCACTCTGTTTGAAAGTGTAATAATAAATTGCTGAGGCCTGTTATACATACAGAGGGTATTTAAAAGCAAGTCAAGTGAGCTGAAGAAGGCATTCGTCAGCTTTTAACAATGTTAGTCAAACAAAAGTTTATATAACTTAATTAGTAGATATGGCCTAAAATTGATCACTTGACAGTTAATGGAGGAGCAAATGTTTACCAATTATTTATTTATTGTTAATGGTTCATTAATTGTTAACAAACAAATCTTAAAATAAAGAGTTATTGTTGGTTCTGCTGTACAGTATAATGCACATTTTTCATTTTTCTTTACATTTTTTCCATCCCATAGGAAGCGCAGCAGTGGGGAGCTGAGTGACACACTCACCCTCGACCCAAACAACCTGCTGGGCAAGAGGATACAGCACAGTTGGAGGGAGAAAGGTGCGCTCACTAAGTGGAAGGGCACAGTGCTGGACCGGCTCAGCGTCAACTCCTCGCTATACATGGTGAAATACGACGGCTTCGACTGCGTCTATGGTATCGAGCTGTTCAAAGATGAAAGGGTGTCCAACCTGCAGGTTCTCACCGAGAAAGTGGGTGAGTATTGTTGGGTCAAAACAGGAAGCCGCCAGAGTGCACACAGGAAGTTAGCTGAGCACATCTCACATTGCAAGGGATGCAGAAAGTGTTCTGGACGTTTTTTCTTTCTAGACACAGAAAAAAGCTGCCTTCTATCTTATATGCAGCATGCTGGTTAAATTACCATTGCAGTACATTGCACACCGTCTTTAAACTGAGTGTCTAAGATGAGCTCCTCTAAGCCTGTGTTTAGAACAGACCTGTTAGGACTTATAATACCTCAGCAAATTTGAATAGTCAGATAAAACTGATGTATGAATTTAGATCAGTTTCCTATTTAGATCTGGAAAGAACAGCACATATTTTGACGAACAAGCTTTTTGTGTACTGAACAAGCTGTGATGTAATACCATGATGCTTTTGTTTGAGCAAAGAGTTTGTTTGGTGTAACATTCTTTTTATATGAATTAGCTTTGTGTTGATTGAGGCAATCCATGATGCAATATCATGCTGCTTTTGTTCAGCTCAGAAACTTATTTGGTATTCACAAGTCTGCACCAGGGCAGGTTTTGTCAGTGTGAGCAAAATGCTCAAAATGCAACCACAATTTTGATTTAGGAACACCTATGCAAGAACAGAATTTTGCCTATTTTACCTGCATAGCTGTCCAGTTTAGTAAAGAACTGGTGGTTTACCATAACACTCGTAATAGTGGTCTCATAATAGTGAATTAATAAACCCTATTCCAAAAAAGTTGGGCCAGTATGTAAAATGCAGATTAAAAGCAGAAAACAGTGATTTATAAATCAACTTTATTATTATTGGAATAAACCAGTACAAAGACAAGATATGTAAATATTAAATATGCTCATTCTGAACTGCAACACATTCCAAAAAAAGTTTTGACAGAGACAAAGACTAGGAGCATTGTGAGTGTGTTAAAAAAAAAACCCATCCTAAACAGGGGATGTAATCATGCTTTGGTATACAAGGAGCATAAAGAAAAGACCTAGTTCTTTATGAGCAAGTATGGGTCAACGCTTGCCACTTTGACAAAAATGCATCAGCAAAAAATCCAGTTTAAAAATAACGTTCGATTGCGAGGATTTTAGCTATTTCACGCTTTTTGGAGCTTAATATCTTCAGCAGATTCAAGAGATCTGGAGAAGTCTGTGTGCATAAAATAATAAAGCCAAAAAACACTACTGAATGCCTGTGACCTTTGATCCCTCAGAAGGCACTGCTTCTGTGATGGAGTGGAGAAGTGGCATGTTTCTATGATGCATGGGTTCAGGAATACTTTGACAAACCACTGGCATTTACATTGGCAATCAGCTAATTTTCAGCTGTTGTTGATAAACCCTGTTGCTGTATGCACAAATGCTTTAAAAGTAAAAGACTTGTGTGAAGTTCTAAAGCAAAGGTGTGGGGTATTAGTGGGTAACTTAAACATCTGAGAAGGCACAATTAATGCTGGACAAATTTTGAGAAACATACTTTGCTTAGAGTACGTCTTTTTATGAGACATCCATGCTTGTTTTAACATAACACCACCAAGCCACATTCTGCTCATGAATAAACAGTGTGGCTACATAAGCAGAAAGTGCTTGGCTGACCTTCCTGTAGTTAAAAAAGGAACAGTCACCCATTGAAAAAATTGTGTAAAACACAACATTTAAAAACCCATACACAGTTGCATAGCTAAAGAGTCATATGACAGAAGAATGGCAAAAAATGTGCTTTCAAAACTGAGTTTTTCACTTTTTAAGTGTTCTTAAAAAGAAAGGTGATGCAACACAGTGGTAAACATGCTCCTATCCCAACTTTTTTGAAACGTGTTGCAGGCATCAAATTTGGAATGAGTGTATAGTTACATAAAACAATGACATTCAGAAGGTAAAACATCAAATGTTGTAATTTTGTACTGTTTTCAATTTAATACAGGTCAATTTACTAATCACTACTTTCTGCTTTTATTAGTATTTTACAAACTTTCCCATTTTTTGGGAATTGGGTTTGTAAATCTCAGGGGTCAAAAGATTTATTTTACTGTTTGCTGCACGGCAGCATCAGAGAAACAGTTAATACTAGGCTTAACTACATATTTGTAGAACTGTTAGCCAGTACGGCACTATCAGATTAAAGCCAAGCGTGTTGATTATGCATGCTGGCATTTAAACAGGATGTTAAGCAAAACAACCAGCAGTTAAATGGCCCTCTTATACAACAGAGAAGTGCACTGAGAAGTTACAGGAAAATATGTTTTGCATATACATAAAACATTTGCACAATTAGTGATCAATCAAAGAAACAACAAGAAAAGAACATCATAGATTATGTTTCTTTTCTACAGCATAGAAAAAATCTGATCATGGAACCAAACATCATCTTTGACTGATAGCAGGAATAAAGGGAAAAGTTCTCTAGTGCTTTTTTGTAGAACCCTGGCAGTCTACTTATTCTTGACCCTGTTTTGGGATGGGTCAGAAAAGTAAATGGAACAGTTGTCTGATTGTTATCTATGGTCAGACACTTTCCACCCAGTGCCAACATGAAAACCCCGTTGTCAAGCAGCTAAACCTGAGAGACCCTTGTTCATAATGCCCTTCATTAACTGCACAGAGATTCTAAGTTTGGCTTCATGAGAAACTATTACAAGACAATGCTGAACTTGTGCAATTTTTTTGAATAATGTTATTTTTGAGGATGTTGAATATTATAGCGCTACATGTGTTTGTTATTCTAGGGTGGAGTTCATGTACAGTCCAGTCTTTTAGAATGTATCCCATCGTCATCTTAAGCTCCAGGTTCTTTAACAGTTTGTCTATAAGCTATTTTTTCATTAATCGAGTAATCAAAGCATTCTGCTTTCTGTGGTTTCCTCTCGCAGATTTTGCTCTATCACAGCACTGCCATTATTTCATATTATTGTTTATGTTTTGTTTGCACGATTAGCAGTTTTTCTTACAACAGTAGAGACCGTATAGACCGTAGTGCTTCCTTATTGTTTTCCAATCTGTTGGAGTGACTGGATATATCATTTGAACATGAACATCACTGAGTTTAATTGTATAAGTACACAACACAATTAATTGTAATTGTGTTTGTTTGTCTTAAATGGACATGCAAACTGAAGGAAGCCATAGTCACTACAGGGAAGCTGATTATAGCAAGGTAGTTACATGGCTGTTAGATACCTTACCTCAGTTTGGCTGAAAGGATAAAAAAAATTTTCTTGCGTCCATTATGTTTCGAATGATGATAGAACCAGTGTTTTCATTAAGAGTTTGTTTGACGGCCGAGATTTACGCTAATGTTAGCTTGCTTGGGTTCATTGGCTTATAGTTTAGTGGCTAGGCTATCAGTTAGGTTGGTTGACACCACAAGGATTCACAATTCTTGTACTGGGTATTGTAATGAGAGAACATTGATGAATGAAAGTGAAATGAAAAAACACTGTTTTACAGAATACTGCATAACACGACAAATAACATATTAACATATTGAACCTCTTTAAGACACTTTAAGTGTTGATTTCTGTCGTGGTAAATTATCCCTGTTCATTGAGTCTTACAGGCAATGAATTCCTAATGATATTTGTCCTGCGTTTTACAGTAAACAACAAGATCAAGGTACCACATGACGCAGAGGATCTGGTGGGGAAAGCGGTGGAGCATCTCTTCGAGAAAGAGGATGGAGAGAAGAACGAATGGAGAGGGATGGTGCTCTCTCGGGCCCCCATCATGACTAACTGGTATTACATCACATATGAGAAAGACCCAGTGCTGTACATGTACCAACTGTGGGACGACTACAAGGACGGCGACCTCCGAATTTTACCTGAGGCAGGTGAGTGACTGGTAGCCTTACGCTAACCAGTGAAATCATAGTACGGTGTACTGTCTGAAGATGCATGACTGCATCATAACTTGCTTTGCTTTCCAGTACCATTGCCTGTTCATTGTCAGTCGTGTGCTCTTCCTCTTTGGCAGTAATTCTGAAATGATTCACTTTAGGCTTGATCTTATGATAAAGTGCACAGCCAGTATATGCTGCTTATATAACATTTCGGTCATGCTTAAAAAAATAAAATCCCCTAGCAGTGTCACTGCACTGACACAAATAGATTATCTTTTTTCCACGCAAACAGAATTTATTCAAGGTAAAAGGAACGTGCATTCCTTTTTTCAGTCTGTCTTTTTTTCAAACACCTCAATCAGTTTCACTTCCTTGTCTGTCTTCTTAAAATAGGTGCGTGGGCTGATATTTTTTTATATGGGTGTTGTCGTGAGTGCTCAGTCACCTTAAGACAGCCTGTTTGTAAATAATTCTGTGGCTCTGCCACTTGCAGATGGCTAAATAAGGTCATCTCCTGAGTGAGATTCTAAAAGCACAGCGTGTGTTGGTTTTGCATGGCTTTTTTCAGGAATAGCCCAGCGGTGTGTAATTTCAGTAGATCTCAGTGTGGTCCAGCATTGGCAATGGAATCAGTGAAGAGTACAGTCTTTTATTTAAGGATTGTGTTGTTTCAGAGTTGTGTAAATCCAATTTAGAAATGAAAGGATCACATTACGGCCCTGTGGAAGATATTAATTCCAGTGATTCAGTGGTGCTAGTTGTAAGTGGATAACAATGGATATTGTTCTGTGAATGAGTTATTCCAGATGAGGAGTGAAAAAGTGATGAGATAAGGACACCCTTTTAGTAAGTGGCAATATTCCAGCTGAAATTCTTCTTGAGGTATGATTTTTGTCATTATCTTAAATTGGTATGTAGTAAATAAACACAGATAATGCAGTGGCTGGGGTGGAAGGGTTGAGGGGTTCACAAACATTTAAATATATATATATTTTTTTGGAACACAGCTATTTTTAAATGTCTGCCACTGAAATTCCATCTGAAATATTAAAAAAATGGTGTCTTTGCTGTGCTCAATTCTGACGTTTCCACCTCCGTACTACTACATGAATATAAAACCAATCATTAAGTAAAATATAGCATATACAAATATAATTTGATTTTTGCTTAACTTAGCTGTAAAATAATATTAAGTTACTTAACAAAGAGTGACAACGTTGGTTTGACAAAGCTGGTTAAGTTCTGCTTTTGTTCAGCATTGGTAATTTATTGGCTCTCCACTGAACTGATCAACCTACTCTAATGAGAGAATACAGTCCAATTACAGAGAACATAGTAGCAGTAGCAGAGTAAATAGATATTGGCTACAAAGGCTTAATTAAGCATCCAAAATGGTTTTATTTGATAAAAAAAATATTCAGAAACACACCATAACATGATAGATACTGAATCCTAATTATAACATGATGTACCTTTTTGGCCATACTGCCTACTATTACGCTGAAGCCTAAGTTTGACTCCTAGTGATGCCGAACACAGTCAGTTGTTCACTATGGAACATGCTCTCATTTTATAGACAGGCTTAGTTCTATTGCAATGCTACCAAACTTATAGCACCTGGGACTATTTTAATCTAGTTTACACAATATTCCCCTTATCCCAAATGTAGTCAAGATGTTTGGTGTCTAAAGTTTGCTTCTCTTGTTTTACACTGGATCTATCAAGCTAATGTGGCTAACAACTAATGGAGGCTCAGGTAAAATTAGCATTGTACAAACTGCATGCCTAAAATATCAAACACCTCAAAACAATTTAAGTTGGTAATCTCAAACAGACTTGTTTATGTGATTTCCGATACTGTTTAACATCTTGTCATTAAAATGGACAAAAGTACTGATGAATTTCAGGTTGTAAGAAATATGAAAATACTGCAGATTCTTACAGGCTATGCAACATACTTTTGTCCATTCTTACAGTTTACAGTAAGAAATTCCCATGCTAATGCTGGGATACTGGCAACTGAAAATTGCGTAAATTAGATGTTTCATCAAGCTGTTGCTTTATAGCGTGTATACAGAAATACTTATCATGGGATGGATTTAAATAGTGGGTTAGAATTAGCTCCAACTAACACTGTGGAAAAAAAATAAAAATCTGTCCATCCTTGTGTGCTCCTCAGAGAACAAGCACCTGCTGCCTGCTGACCGTAAACCAGGTGAGGAGACGGAGAGCCTTGTGGGTAAGCAGGTGGAATATGTCACCGATAAAGGAGTGAAGAGAACCGGTCTAGTCATCTACCAAGTCCCCGCCAAGCCCTCCGTCTACTACATCAAATACGACGATGATTTCCACATTCACGTCTACGATCTGGTCAAGACGACCTAAAGAAAACAAGAACAAGTAAACGAAAACAAAACTCACCGTCACCTCCCCATAGCTTATGTCGTCACCTCTCGTTGTGCTGTCTCCACCTTGAGTTGCTATGGAGGGATGGTGCGTGGAGGGGTGCAACTGTGTGAAGTGTCTATGGTTTGTTAATTCACGCGTGTCATGTTCGTGGATGTCACACCGTTGACGTAAGCTTAGAGAACAAAGCTCAATCAGGAATTGCTAAAAGGCAGTCACAGTTGTTTAGCTCCAAGAATGTTGAGAGACATACCGTTATGGGATTTAATATTTAGCCATTTTCACTTTCAGCCATTCCTGATTGGAGGCTTAATAATTGGAAACAGGAATAATTAGAAAACAGCTGTTCCCAGAGGTACACAGTGTATTTATTGATGTTCATACCTTAGTATGTATCAGTAATAGTTCTACGCCATTACACATGACGTTACAGAAATGCTTAAGTTGTACGTGTTGAAATGCTTACGTTTGGGGTTGAATAACACCATACCTTTTTGATTGTTTTGCATCCTCACTTAAAGAGGATTGATTTAAAATGTGACTGGTGGTCAATAGCTGTGTGTCACAAACAGTGGACCCCAACACTTTCATACAGCTGAATATTTGGACAGTAAATAGCACTCAAGCTAAGAAATTTTAAGCTAATAGTTATAATTTCTGTAAGAATTAAGGAACTATTTATTATCTTAGTGAGCTGAAAGCTTTTCTGTTTCTCTTGCATATATTTTCCATTGTAGTTCAGAAAGTTTTGTCAAGGTTGACAAAAGAAACTGCAGTTTAAGTGTAGCACTCTCAGTCAAATTCCAGTAATTTTACAGTTTTGTACTAAATCCTTAGTGCAAGATGGCTACACTTTCCAAGAAGATTTGATATCAAAGTAAAAAAAGCTTTCTGTGGAGAAATTGTAGTCAAAAGACCTTTTGGTCCAACATAGAAGAAAGGTCACCCAAAGCTCTTTAAAACCCCATGTGTAGCAGCATCAGTTAAGGGTTCTTGAAAAGAGGTAGTCTGTTCTTCCTTTGTAAAATCATGTTTCTTTGTGCATTATTTTTGACTTAAAAGTGTGAATAGCAGAAAAGCGTGTATATGTGCACACAAAAGCATTAGCTCATCAGCGTCTATGTGCCGTTGTGTCAAAACTTGCGGAAAGCAGACTTTGAACATCATCGGTAGAAATATGTACACCATGAAAAAGAAGCTGTCCTGTTGCTAAAAATATATTTATGTATGACTGAAAATTGAGATTTTATGTCCAACAAAATTATGTAAAAAATGATGACCATATGCCTCAACTGTTAAATTAAATTTACATTTTCTATGTAGTTGGTCTGAATGGTTAATAGGGTTATCTAGCTAAGCAAACCCAGATGTACCTAAAGTTTGATTTAAATCAAGTCTATCCAGCAGGCTGGATAAGCAGAAAAAATTCCTTCTGATTCTCCAATTGGAGGGATGTTTTAACTGACAGGGTGTAGCTTTTGGAGGCAACTTATGCTAGCCAAACGATTGATAACGCAACAAGAATCTCATTTGAATCATAGAAATTAAATGAGTAGAATGGCCAAACCTATTCAGATCAGTACTCTGGATCAGTTGGTAGCCTTCGGATGGGCTGTTTTGAATGTTTCACCTAGCAACAAAATGGAACTAAGTGAACTAAGTAGCACTTCATAAGCAGATTAGCCTAGTAGCCAGCTAATCAAGCGTATTATCAATAAAGATGTTCTCCCACCTAAATGAGTGTACCATTAGCTTTTCTGTCATCACTGTTGAATTCCTAAAAGGATACAATTAACCCTTCAAATTTAATCACAGCTGTATTAGATGTAGCGGCGCGGAACAGTTGGTTGTATTTACTGTCCACACTCTAACTCTATGCTTTCAAATTTGATAACTATAGGAGTTCACTGGTTAAAACATGGGACTTTTAATTCATAAACTCTGGTTGATGTGTTGTCATTATTACATTAAAATTGGGACCCTGATGACCTTTTCATAGTTTCTATCCAGGTTTCATCTAAAATAGTGCCCAAATTGTTTGCTGTTCATATAGCATGAGGTGAAAATAAAAAAAAGAAAAATTAAATATTATTGTTGAAGTTGGGTCACTAAGTTGATCCTGAAACACCAAAACAAGGATGTGAGTTTATGTACTTATTTCCCCTCTTATACATATCCAGATATTAGCACCACCTTTTAATGTTATTGCACGTTATTTAGAAACAGATGACGTTCACCATTCGACAATTCACAGAATGTGCTCCTTTTCAAAATGGTTAAGTGGCGTAACCATGTATGTACTTATATGTATTTTTTGTAAATACTGCAAGTATGCTTGAAATTATTGTTTGTGTTTATTTGTTGGCCTATATTTGCTCTTAGCAGTCGCACTTTATCTTAGCCCTGGTATGCTTAATTCCTCAAGTCATAGAGGAACTAAGCTATGAAAACAATTCAGACAGTTAAATAAAAAAGTACATAAATCCGGAGAGGCCATTAGGTCGTTATAATTTTCTGGATTATTATCTTGAGTTAACACCTTTGTTATCCTGAGATCACAGGATAACAAAGTTGTTATCTCAAGATAACAATCCAGAAAATTATAGCAACAGCTCATGGCCTCTCCAGACTAAAAAAGAAAGTAGAATCATTTCTTTTTTAAACTTCAAATTGAGCAGACCGACACTGAAAGGTACAAAACAGTTTGCTAGACAGTCGCCAAAGGCAAATTTCGATTTGGAATAATACTGTTGTTTCTTTTTGACTTCACTTTATTCATTGATGAAGCAAAGATACTATTGTAAACTAGTTCCATTTTAAACCATATCGATTTCAATTTGATTAAAATAAAATTTTAATCAAAAAGAAAGATTACAAGGGACTTGTATGTTCTTAACACATGCATCTTGTCCCTTGAACTTTTAATGATTTGATTGTTTTGAAAATGTAAATTGAAAGCACAACACTGACGTGCATGAACTAGATTGCATTTGAATTCCAGCTTGCCATGTGTGGCATGACTGAGTTTGGGATGCAGTTTCCAGTCAGTTCTCTCCACTTTTAACATTTGCTGCATGCAGTTTTATTGTCCCTGAGACAGTCACACGTCTCCACATTACATTAGTGCCAATGTGCTAGAGAGAGGGAATCTGTAGTTGTATGTTAATCTACCAGTTATTTGTACAGAATTATCAAGAATGCACACCCTGCTGAATTTGGGTGTTTTCATAAATAGAAGAAATCCCTTCAGATAGGATGGGCATTTATCCTAATACGTTGTAAAGTTTGCTGTATCATTGGCATTGAAACAACGTGGACTTAACCCTGCTGTACACTTTTTCAGGTTGCGGATTATGCTTCTGTTTTCTTTTTTTTTTTCACTGTTCTCCATAGTATTCACAGATTACATTCGGGTGGAAAGATCTATGTATTCATTTGCACTCATTTTCAACAGACCCTCATAAGTACTTGTACTATACTTTATTTCTCATCTTGAGAGTTTCATGGCCCCCCTGAACACAAGGGGGAAAACGTTAATCTCAAGCTTTGACAGGTTTGATTAAAGCATATATTAATGATGTACATGCTGCATTATCCGTTTCTTTCTCTCTTGTTAATTGTGCATAAGTAATTCTCTTTCCGGCTCCTCCGTAAATGTGATTTCTTGTGCGGTCCGCAAGCTTCCGGTACTTTCCCCGGTTCCCTCTATTATCTGTGTTCCTGTTACTTTGCTGCTTTTTTTTTTTGCCAAAGTTAACTTTTCAGTAGGCAGCGTTAAGAAGTGTCAAAACTGTTCATGTTGTCTGTTTGTGTAACGATGCTATCATAAATAATAAAAGAGATATTTTTTGCACTGAAAATGGTGTCTCTCATGAGTGAAGAGAAGAGGGCTTACTGTTGTGAAGAATGTGCATTGACTTGCAGCAGATTTTATGAATTTGATTTGCAAATGTGTGTTCAGATCTTGAGGCAGCCAGGAAAAAGATTAACTCTTCAGCTTGTGCTCAACATAAGCTCCTCTCATAGAAGATTACCTTTAATATCAGTTATTATGAGTGATGCTTGGACCCAATTGGGTTATAGTAGTAATAAATTGCTTAGAAAGTTCTTTGATGTGTGTCTTCTAATGTACTGGTTAATTTGACCTTTTTACCTTGTTTCTTGTTAACTTGTTTAAGAGACAAAATTTGTTTCCTATAATGTTCTAGAGCAGAGCTTGTTCAGATACCCTCCCCGATAATGTTTTATCTGGTGCCCTTGAGGTTGTCTTAACGAGGACTGATCCGTACAGGTGGGTGGATAGATACTGATCTATGATGCATAGATTCTTCTTGAGAACTGATCCTTACCCTGCGTTCACCCCAGCAACGAAATTTTGCCTCTTGTCGCCCAAATCGCTGATCGCTCATCGCCTAGGGGCGTTTCTGAACCCGAACTGACCTTTGGTTGCCATGGCTATATTAATGCATGGTTTGCATTAATGTAGACACTTGATATAGACACGTCATATACAAATCAGATGCGTTCCCGCAAAAAATAAAAATCCTGGTGTGAAATCGCTTGTGTGCGTATTTTATTTACTCCTCGTCTGTGCAGTTAGTTTGTGAGGAAAACAGTATTTGGTCTTAGCTGTTACTGTCTATTTGCGGCGAAAGCACCGCGGCCATTATTCCGTCTCTAGTAGGAACAATTGTCTAGGAACCAATAAAGGAGCGTACTGTTTTACAGTGGCGGAGGAAGCGCGCACCAATGCTCAATGGTCAATTCCTATTGGTTATCGCCTGATCGCTTCGCTCCTAATTTGCATCAAGTTAAACTCAACTTTGTGGCGTCGCAGACTCCGCCCACTTCGCGTCGCCAACGTTCCCGCCGCCTCCTGTCGCCCGAACTCGCTAGCTCTCACTGAAAAAGAAGGACCTCATGCCGCTTTGTCGCGTCGCTGCCGGTGTAAACGCGGGGTTAGCACAGAGAACTTGTAGTGAAGAGAATTACTACTCTGCAATGTCTTCCGGGTTTCTCAAACGCTAGAGGGCGCTCCCGAGCGAGTCCAAAATGAATGGGTTGATATGGAGCATTTGAGCACAATCATAGTTTATAAATGCTTAAACATTTTTAATGTAAATGAATGCAATAATTTCCTGAACACTGAATAGCATAAAACATTTTAACACTGCTGTTATATTTTTTAAGAGCTTTTAAACTCGAGTTATAGGAGTTTAAAACGGCACCTCATGTATGTCCATGACGTCAGTGAGCGCCAACAGCCAATGAGCTGCTAGGCGAGATTTCTTTATTTTTTTAGTGAAATACATCCTTCTACCTTCTAAAACTAAAACGTTCTGGGCAAGTGATTAGAAACTATTTTAACTTTTGGTTTTTAGCCGTTGAGTGCCTTTTACTCCCATTCATTTAAGATTCTCTCGCGGGCGCCCTCTGCTGTTTAGCAGCCCTGTTTTTGATATAACGGGGGGAGTTCGAAGTGGCCAGGTACCTCATAAACCGGCTCTGGTTCCCCAAGAATATCTGAATTTCAAATTCAAAATTCAACGGAAAACTGCGCGAGCCCAGCCAACGGTTAAGACCCTACAGCTGAGGAAAATAGTTCAGTTTGTCAGGTTTAATTATCGTAATTATTTCCCTGAAATATATTTACAGACGCATATAATATTTGATATGTTAACATGAGGTGTAACCAAGCTCATGTTAATTTGTCGTTTGGTAAAGTTATTAGCGTTAGTTTGTTACTTCAGCCTTTAGTTTGTGATTTCAGCTGGTCATGTTAGCTAGAGCTAAGTATTCCATATTGAGTTAACGTTAGGCTAAACTGATTGCAGTTACTTTTTCGCAGGAGAGTTGTGTAATATCACGTAAAGCTCAGATAATTCCTGTGGTAAATTAACTGTTAACTCAGTTAGCATTAAATTAACTATTTCACCTGGGTTTCCTGGGTTCTTATTCCGTCTCTAAACTGCATGAAAATACACGAATCAAAAGCATTTGGATATCTTTTGATGTGTTCTGCTTATTGTCTTAGCATGAATGAAATTAACTAGATAGCATTAGCTATTCATCCATATAGCCCCGTCTAACAAGCACCATAAACAAAAGTATTTTTTTGTTAATTGATTATACAACATACAAAAAGTGTGATATAGATTATAATCTTATATATGAGGTATATTATTAAAACTAGATTATACATGTTAGCTGGAGATGTCAAAGGGTTTAGGTAAACACGCCTACCGGCAGGGGGCATGTCGCTTCATCATCAGCACCACTGTAGAAATTTTTCACAACCGCTGGCCTGGGAAACAAACATCTGTTCAGCGCCAAGCACTCGCTCTGTCAAATAACTACAGATTTTCAGGAGAAACATGAAAAATGTTCCAAAGCGGTTGGACACAGAACAAACTGCAAAACATGGACTGCCTTAAGCGTAACTTCCCCTTCGTCCCTTCTGATTGCACAGGCCCATTTTTCCTCTGCTCATCATCAGCTGAGAGGCCTACGAAACTGAGGTAAGGCTGTTTTAATGTAATGTAATGTATTTATGAAGTTGTATTTGTTAGGGAAAATGTGCTTTGAATCATTAATCTTGCTGTACTTTAATAAGGATTGGTCTTAAACTTTCAAAACAATAAGTATAACGAAATTCAAAACAGGAAAAACTAAATATATATAAATGACAGTATATATATATATATATATATATACTGTCATTTTCACTGAAACTGACGAACAAATGATTTATTGTTTGGAACACCATCTGTATCAGAAAAGGAAGAGATGCTACTCTTTGTCCCTCAGTGATTGCCTCTGGAACTTCCAGTGTGCGTTTTTAATTACCTAGCTAGTTTATGTTACCACAACATATTTACTGTCTGGCACTTTAGGCTCAACTGTTTTTTCTAAAAGAAACGGTTCACACATTGTTTATTGCTTTCTTTGTCTCCTTTCCTTCCGTTTCTGAAATGCTGAGTTTGGTATAATTTTAACCAGGTGAGAATTGGCAGACAGCAGGTAACGATGGACGTGCTCGCTGGAGGATCAAAACACTTTTGCTTTTGAGGAGTGGTGGTGGTGGGGGGGTGCGGTCCAGGGATGGCCCTGAGTAGGTAGGTCAGTGATTACCTGTGATCGGATACACCTCAATGGAGGTGAAACATGATATTATTGGTTAATACTATTTTGCTTGTCGCTGCTAACACGGATGCCATAACGAATTACTGTCAAATTATTAAAATCAAGCTGAAGTTAAATGAAGTACATTAGCTAGCTATGTTACATTAGTTTCCTAGGATCAAGTAGTGCTACAGTGGAGAAGAGCAGGTTTTGTTCCACGTCAGAAAAATGCCTCTGCACAGCTGTAAGTAAAGCATCTTTCATAGTTTTGCTCCTCATTGGTTTCTTTCAACAACAGTCTATGTAGAACAGTGACAACAGGAATCAGAGGCTGATGCATCAGAGGAACTTGTAGAGTTTTACATCTGAAGTCTTTTCTTTGGCTGTTTGAGCTGTAGTTTAATATCCTCTAAAGTGAGACATACACTTGCCGATTTTAGAAATCTTGTTCTTTGGTGACTCTGTGCGTTTAACTAGACTGTCGCGTATGGACAGCTCTGTCAATGGACAATTTCAAATAAAGCTCTCTCACTCAACGTGTTGTGCACTACAGCCATTTTTTAGGAAAAAAAAAGTTTAAAAAGTCACATATATGGACTTTGGTATCAAATGTCAACTTTCCCACTGACGTTTTTTAGCCTCCGTGTCCCCACCTGTATTGGGGAAGCAGTTGTGATTGTGTGTTTAAACCGGGCTAAAATCACACAGTGTAGGTTTGGTGCGAATATATATACCAAGGCGGAATGTTTGAAGTGACCAGTGACTTTGTGTCCAACCGTGACAGTGTCAGTAACGCTTCTCTGTGTGAGCAGAGCCTCCTTCACTGCATTTGTTCGTTAGCATGGCAGTGTATGCTCATCTTGTGTTACATAGTATCGGCGGGTGTCAGATGTTGGTATCTACCCGATACCAGTATCGGTATCGATGCATCCCTACTTAAAAGCCTCTCATGACTCTACTGGCTGTATGAGTGGGCTATCTGTCTACCCCCACATGCTCATGATTGACAGCTGTAATGCTGGCACATTAACATACAGCATCACTTTGCTACATCTGTTGAGTTTTCTGGCTTTGAGAGACAGTATGAGGTTTCCAGGTTTTGATGACAGGAGCCAATACTGGGACTGGCGAGCAGATGGTCTACCACTACAGCCAGCTTAGAGCCCAAGTCGTCATCACAGCAAGGAAAGAACATGTCTTACAGAGGGAGAGGGAGTTTAATACATTTGTACAGCATATACTGTGCACATTTGATTTCACTGTAATTTAGTGGTGATGATAAGATAATAATGGTTGTGTATAGTGTATGTAATGACAAGGCCCAAGTAGTAAAACCACCTGTATTCCTACTAGTGTTGCACAAAGTATGTTTTTTTCATTACTGTAATGTAGTTGACTGTTCAATACTCTTAACTTTCGGTATGTATAAGGTGAACACTACATTGACGTTAAATTCTGCTTATAGGCAAATGACATTGGCTAACTATCTGGTTGTCCAACCTGTACAAACGGCAGAAAAGTGCCTTTGCTGTGTAGTGACATTGCCATGTCACCATATGAGATAGAATGGTATTTATATTTGATCACTGATGCACACTAATGCAGGCAAAATTAGTTTAAAAAGGATGCTGGATGAATGTAAAACTTAAGAAACAAGAAGACTAGGCATGTACAGCTCCAAGATGCATCAAGCTGTTTTGCGTGTAAAGGTGTTTGGTTTTTGAATTTCCTATACCAT